TAACACGGTGCTCAGCACTAAGGGGTAATCACCAAACTTCCTCTATGCATTTATTGTTAAATCAATAACATAAAAGAGTGGCCTATGATTATATTGATTCATGCAAACTATACATTGTAGTATCAGTAGCCAATACTTACGTAGTCCTTACTATGTTGTAGGCACTTGACACATGTTAACTAATCTAATCTCACAACCAACTTTTGGGAGTTGCCATGTTTCAGATTTTAAAAAAAGTCAAATGGGATAGCTAGTACGAGAAGCAGCGTCCACTGAAGGTTTACATGGGAGAGCACATCTATGCAATCCTTACTGGAAATACCAACACAGAGCAGCTGTTCTCAGGACAGAAAGAAATTACCAGGTTCATCAAATGATTCTGTTCCAGCACATTCAAAAATAAGGAACAGGGCGCCTGGGTGGCTCAGTTGGTTAAGCGACTGCCTTCAGCTCAGGTCATGATCCTGGAGTCCCGGGATCGAGTCCCACATCGGGCTCCCTGCTCAGCCGGGGGTCTGCTTCTCCCTCTGACCCTCTTCCCTCTCTTGCTATCTGTCTCTCATTCTCTCTCTCTCAAATAAATAAATAAAATCTTAAAAAACAACAACAAAAAAACAAAAATAAGGAACAGCAATCTTTTTCTGAAAAGGGCAGAATAGTAAATGTTTTAGTCTTTGCAGGTCATAGGATACCTGTTGCATCTGCTCAGCTCGGTTTTTGTGGGAAAGCAGCTACAGACAATATGTAAAGGACCGAGCACAGCTATGTTCCAATAAAACTTTATATAAGAAAACAAGACTGTACGTGGCCTGTGAGCCATAGTTTGCCAATCCTCAAAAGAATAACTTGTGCTCATTTCATTTTTTTCCTAGGAAAAAAAGACCTTCCCCTTATCTTCTCATTGTAGAAAAGCAGGTCAGAGGTCTTAATTGAAAAACCACAAAGAGGGGGAAAAAACAAACTCTATGCAACTTTTCCTATCTGTTTCATAATCTTTTTCAATCGGGTTCTGCACTCTTGTGCAAAACACCAAAATTAACTGAAGAAAGCTGTTTGGACAACAAAGGAGAAATAGCCGTTGAGGCAAACATGCCAGTATTATGCTCAAAGGCAAATACCACTTTTGTTTGTGTGTTTGTTTTGGATTATTGAAGAAACATGTACAGTCGATTGAAAGCAAGTAACTCTTTAGCTGCACAGCAACTTCTGTTAAGGATCTTAGCTGTTTACATTTAAGCCAAAATTCTAAACTATGTGTGTGAAATATGTCTGATTGTATCTGAACCACTATAAATGTCAACTCTTGGACCAAAAATTGTAGACTGTAAACAAAACAAGGAGCAGCAGAGTTCACTGAGAATCACGGGACTAACACATTTGGAAGAGGGGATGTGGCAAGTGGTACGTCACAACTCGGGTGGGGAAGGCCTTCTTATTGCCTTCAGGCCCTGTGAACATTCTTCCCCAATCTCCCGGGAGCCCTAACTCTTGCCTGGATTGTCGCCACCGTTGACAACTTACTTTTTAAGACAATACTCCCCCACAGCCAATGCCGTGGGATCATGACTGGAGCTGAAGGCAGACGTTTAACTGACCAAGACACCCAGGTGCCCCTATAATCGTGTTTAGTGAGTAAAGCAAATGCACTGCTGAAGGAATGATCCTCTGGGTGTTCATCACAGTTATCAAAGCATATGTCCACGTGATTCCTACTTTTTCATTGTCCATTTTCCTGTATTTCATTCGCTTCACCTGATCTTTCATTTTAAAGAGCAGGAGGAAGGTGAATCAGAGAAAAAATAAAGAACTTAGAATATTTAGGAATATCAAGCTATAGCTAAATTCTGTGGCCAACTCTAATCCATGGATAGAAGATAGATTTCACCTTGAGTGCCATTTTTAAAGCACCACATGGTGAAGAATGCTAAGCCAAAACTCAGCTGAGAACTTACATGTAAAATCCTCCAGAAAAATATTTACAAATCTATTTCTTTAAAGAAATAAGAAAGAGGGCGCCTGGGTGGCTCAGTCGTTAAGCGTCTGCCTTCGGCTCAGGTCATGATCCCAGGGTCCTGGGATCGAGTCCTACATCGGGCTCCCTGCTCAGCAGGAAGCCTGCTTCTCCCTCTCCCACTCCCCCTGCTTGTGTTCCTGCTCTCGCTATCTCTCTCTCTGTCAAATAAATAAAAAAAAATCTTAAAAAAAATAAAGAAATAAGAAAGATAAATCAGAAACTAACGAGTTTGGTTATTTAGAAGGGGTGAGTAAAACTAGGTAGATGAAACAAGGAAAGCGATACTTCTCTTGAGTATTACACCTTTGTATAATTTTTTTGCTCTTGGAACCATATTAATGTTTATGCATTCATAAATTAATCCAGCTGTATTAAAAATGAATGACAAAACCACAATGAATAGGGAAGAAAAGAACTAACCCAAGATCCTTTTGAACACAGATGTTTTATTATATACCCACACTAAAGGCATATAGTGAACTCTAATTAATAGATTTTTTTACTGTGTGTATAGATTTGAAATTTTAAAACACTTTTATGATTGAGCATGTAAGCAGATATATTTAAGATATTGGGAGCCATGTTTCCCAATGCTCTTGCAAAAGGGTTATAAATATGGAAAGAGAGGGGTAAGAATGAATTCTGTGATATGGGCCTAAGGTAGATATAAGATACAACAAGATAGATGATAGATAGATGATAGACAAATAGATAGAGGTGTGGGTGTGGTGCAAGAGAAATTACCTGAAAACGAACAACATTTAGACTGACAACAGGCTTGTCAAAAATGGGAGCCAGAAGATAGTGACACATCTTCTAAATGGCTGGAGACAACAACTCTCAACCTGGCACCCAGCTAATCTTTCAACATCAAGGGGGGTTGTTGAAGATATTTTTGGTATGAATAAAAAAGGAAATTGAACATGTAGAGAAGGTCTGACATACAAGATAGAATGCTGAGCAAATAAATTCATACACATGGGAAAATCTAGACAAACCCTGGCTGTTAGAATAATAATTATTATAAATATAATAACTTCATGAGGCAAAAAATAAACTAAGCTTAATGTATTTGCCATGAATTATGTGAAATACAAGAGATGGATAATTGAAGTTAATGTATACAAAATTTTGTGGTTTTTTTGTTTTTGTTTTTGTTTTTTACTAATACCTTTTAGTTCAGTGTGGGGGGAAATGCATTTTAAAAAAATTGACCAATTCTAAATAAATCAGGCATACAGGAGGGAAAACATAGGGGAAAATGTACAGTAGTAGAAAGAACACAACAAGGAGCAAATCCAAACTTTTCAGTAACTTCAACAAATCTAAGTAGACTAAAGTCACCAATCAAAAAACAGAGATTGTAGGAGATAATATTATAAATCTAACTAAATGCTCTTCACAAGATTACTCACCTTAAACCTGAGGACACAAATAGGGTGCAAGTTAAAGGATAGAGAATCAATGGATTATGTGACTACTAAAGAAAATTAAGCCTGTGCTGCTTTTTAATATTAAACAAAACTGTCTTCAAGTCAAATATTCAATTACTAAAAATAAAGAGAACCATTACAAAAGAAAAAGTCCCTGAGAAAATACAACTTTTATTTTACATGTACCTAGCCCATTATTTAAAGGAAAATTACCAGGGTTACAAAGAGAAATGGACAAATCATACATTAGAGAAAGAGATTAAAATTTTTCTCATTGCCCACATTTAAACAATAAAATAAGTCTCCACAAATTTTTAAAAAATATTCCAACCACAATGCAATTTGCTAAACACCAGAAACAAATAAATATCTTTTTAAAACTCTCCATAAGTTTAGAAATTAAATAATACAATCCTGGGGCACCTGGGTGGCTCAGTCACTTTGACTGTCCAACTCTTGATTGTGGCTCAGGTCATGATCTCAGGGTCGTGGGTTTGAGCCCCGTGACAGGTTCTGCACTCAGGGCAGAGTCTGCTTGATATTCTCTCTCCCTCTCCCTCTACCCCTCCCCTTGCTCATACACTCTCTAAATAAATAAATAAATAAATAAATAAATAAATAAAATCTAAAAAAAGAAATTAAATAATACATTTCTAAGTAACTTGTGGATCAAAATAGAAAGCCTACTGGAAATTAGAAAACAGTATGTGCTACATAATACTAATAATAAATCTCAAAATCTACATGATGCAGCTAAAGCAGTACTTGGATATTTTAGTCTTAAAAACTGATATAACAAAAAGGAGAATCATTGAAAATTAATGAGATAAGGATCCAATTCAGGAAATGTGAAATTATAACTATGGCAAACGCTGTGAAGGAAAATCAGTTGTTATATGAGCCTGTAAAGGAGGAGAGTAGTCAGGAAAGTGTTTCAAAGAAAGTGATGATTGAAATGAGCCTTGCAGGTAAAAGAGGAGGTATTTATGCAGAGTGGGTGATGGGGGAGAGTGTCTCATGCAGACAATGCAGCAGAGAGAGACCAGGATCTGAAAGAGCCCGCGGGGCTAGAAAGCAGTGAGCTGTTTGATAAGGAAGGAGAGGAAGGGACAGGTAAATTCCAAGGGTAGGCAGGGCTTGGAGGCCCAAGAGCAGTGGGAAGCTGTTGAATGGGTTCTAAGGTGTGTGTGGGGAGAGCATGAGGTCAGATTTGTTTTGAAAAGATTCTTCAAACTTCTCAGTAGAAAACAAATTGAGATTTTGCTAAATAATCCTGTATACCAGAAAAGAAATGGCAGCTTTGCTGAGTATTGGCAATAGACACGGAAAGAAATGAACAGACTCTGTCCAGTATTTCAACAGAAAATAAATCCTCGAGAACTTGGTGAGGCACTGAAGATGGAGAGTAAGAGAGAGAAAAGTACTGGCAGCAGATATGAGGAGGGGAGGAGTGTCAGGATCAGGCCAATGGCCAGGTATGTATGTATTGCTTGTGTTATTAAAACAACTCAACCCCCAAATGAGTAAATAAAAAAAAACAAAACAAAACTGACCTTCAGTTGGAGATGGTTTGTTCCCATTTCCTTTATCCACAACCTTGACTCTGGGTTTTGGTTCCTTTCTTTTTTCCAAATCTTTAACTGGAAGAAAAGGAGAAACACGGCAACATGTCGTGTTAAAGTCTAAAGGAAAATATTCAATGATTTCTACTAAAACCCTTGCAAGTATCGAGAGTATTAAGTAGAAATTAGCTCCATGGTAGAATTCCATTTCCAAAGATTGGAAATGCTATTTTATTTCATCTCCTCATGGGAAGGTGTGGAAAACACTTAAGGAATCGCTTTGGTCGAGTACTCACTATGGGCAGATGTATCAAATAAATTCAACCTGCTATAAAATCAGCATGATTATCCCCATTTCCTACGTGAGGGAAGGAAAGACCAGGAGGCTAAGTAATTGAAATATATTTCATAAAACCAGAAAGTATTGGCCCAGGATTCAGCCATATCTTCTGGTCTCTGAACAAGGCCTATGAGTTGGCCTCTGTTCTAGAAAGATCTTGGCCATGAATATCTTCATTTGGAGTTGGTCTGTCTGCAATAGAAGGTGAAGAATCCAAAATATTTCCTTCCAAACTTAAAAAAAAAAAAAAAAAAGCTTCCCTACCAATAAGTAGTAGTATTTCTTTGTCAGTTTCAGTATGAACTATTCAGGGGCCCAGAATTAATATACCCATACCAATCTACTCCCTCATGCCTTCACTTTCCACTGCTTAAACTCCATAGCAGTTTCCTGCTGTTGCTTGGCACCTTAACTTGTCTGTGTCAGCTCAGACCACCGCCAATGGCAATGGTTTCTGCACAAATAAAACACCCATGAAAAGGCAGAAGGGATCCTCTGGTGAGCTATCTCATTTAACTGTTGCATTCACTTAATGGAAAATCAGCAGATTTATTGCAGAGTGGGCTATGTAGGGGAAGGAATGATTTCCTCTGAACCATCCTTCCTGCCTTCTCTAGGGTGTTATTCCATTAACCCTGTCTCTATCATCCCCTCCTCCTCCTCTTCTTTCTCCTGATTTCCATCCCTTTGCTGAAGGGGTTTGAGACTTGCCAGTTGCCAAGGTCATGTTGCTCTAGTTCTGTTATTTGTTTCCTTAGAAACCATCCTTGGCTTTCTGGTACCTAGAGGTTAAATTCCAAGATTAAAATAATAATAATAATAAGATGCCTTGATCCTGCTGTTCCCACTGACCCTCTAACTTTCTAAATCCATTTTTGTCAGACCTCACTCTCTGACTTCTTTACAAGCCTTAACCACTTTGCAACACCCCCTTCTTTAAATTCTTTTCTTTGTCAGTTTTACAAAGGCATTATCCTGGATTTTCTTGTATTCCTCTGACCCCTCCTTTATATTCTCATTTTTTGGATCCTTTTTCTGCTTCCATTCCTGAAACATGATCATATACTAAATTTGCCCTGCATCTCTGCACACCCCGCCTATAGTTTTATTGCCCCACAATTTTAATGCTCACCCTTCTGTGGATAATTTCCAAATATATATCTTCAACCCCACCTACCCATAGGTCATGGCCTCAAGTTGCTTACATCCTGTAAAAGAAATCTGCAATTTTAATATGAGAACAAATGTGCTGAGTGTTCATAGAAGCAGAAATAGATCTGGCAAAGAATAATTCCAGAGGTGGAGACTCAGGGAAACCTCACAGGGAAGGTGATATTTGAGCCAGACTTGAAAGATGAGCAAGATTTTGCAGGCAGAGATTAGCAAAATGTCATTCCAGAGAGGAAAATGGGGGCCAAAAAGAAAATTTGCCAAAATAGGGCCATAAACCATTCTGATATTATATACATATATAACATATAACAGTCACTTTCAATTGTGCCCCTAGCTTACATATAAGATGCAACACATACGTCACACCAAGCTGCTGTCTCCCTCATCCAGGAGGTAAACTAAACTGGAAAACAGACTGTCGTAAGCAAAGTGGCATTAATCATGACAACAGCAACCATGTCCTACTATGTGCTGAAGTGCATTAACCCACAGTAATAGCCATATATCATTACTCCCACTTGCAGATGAGAAAACTTGAGGCCATGCTTGATTTGCTTGGCCAAATACACACACCAGATCAGACATGCCTTTCTATCTTCAAAATCCAAAAGCATTGTTTCTCATGCTTCCCTGTGTATCAGAAGATGGACTTATGAGGACTTCAAATCTCTACACTAACTGCAAACTTAGATGCACAGCATTTGTCTGGATCATCATTTTCCTGGACCCAACCGTGGAAGCTTTCCAGGGAGGGGAAACCAGGCTTTAGCTCCATCTCACAAGGAGCAAAATGAAAAAGAAAACCATCCGAAGTTCTTTTAATATCACTGTTGCAAACTTGTATTTGGAAAGAACTAATCTGTGACAATAATAATGATGTAGCTAAAAAATATATCTGCTTACATATAAGTTATCCAACATACCAGTTAGACTGCCTCAATAAGATTATTTCAGCAGAGCTAAGCAAGCTGAAAACAACTGCATTTCCTTTGAAGTGTTTTGAGTAACTAGCTCTTGGCAAAGATTTTTCAGGTTACCTGTTTGTTAGGATGCTCAGTCAATGGACTTTCTGGAATAATCAATTGCAATGCCTTCAGTCTAAAGTAAAATGTCTCCACGTCCTTTTACTGCTTCTCATAAACTTTAAGAAGAGTTATTTCGCTTACTCATGTTGAAATGTCAGAGGCCAAAAACGCAAGTATAGTGCCAATAAAGGCAGACAGAGGCTGATTTATATTGGAAGTAACATAAAAAACCCTTTCCAGAGCTTCCAGATAATGTGAATCTCAAAAGAATGTCATGTTTAAAACATCTGCATGTCCTACTAACAGGTGGATTTACCAAATGTCTTCGTTCAGAAGTTTTAAGAGGTAGCAAGTTAACCAAGTTGGGGGCTTTTTAATTTAAAAAAATCACAAAATATATGTCACAAAACATTACTTAGAAGAGGAAGAAGAAAAAAAAAGGAGAGAGGGGCAGAAAATCCAGCTAGAACACTGCTACACACACAGTTCTAGATTCATGGGTAAATCCCACAGCCTCCCAGATTTGTGGATTAATCTAATGGCAGGATTTGAAAAGCTATTGTTACTTGAAACGATGTCCAGAATTTACCTCAAAATTAGGGCAGAGTGGTGGGGGGAGGATAGTATATGAAACAAGACTGGCCATGAAGAGCTCATTGTTGAAGTGACTGATGGATACTTAGGGGTTTATTATACTATCCTGCTGATTTTTTAAAATATGTTTAAAATTATCCTTTAAAAATTGGAATTTTTAAAGAATCTATATTAACAATGAAGTAAACAGAAAGTTAACCAGGACAGGCCTCTTCTGTTTGCATTCACAATACATAAAAAAAAACACAAAACTTTGCCGTCCATATATGAATGGCCACTCCCAGGAAGAGGTAGTTGCTGGGGTCTCTGCTCACGAGAATATAAGGTCCACGGGGGCAGTGGCTTGTTATGTTCCCAGTGCCTAAAAATAAGGCCTGACACTTAGTAGCCATGCAATATATATTTGTTAAATGGAAAAAAAGAATAAATGAATGAATATCTATCTCCTGAAAGACAGAAGAATCACAGCCTGTAAGAACAACTTTTAAATTTAATATAGGAAAGGCATTCTAATGTCATAGATTGGGCTGCCTCAAAGCTTTCTCCATTGCTTAGAATATCTCAGCATGCCCTGCCTTTCCCTGCTGCCCAACTTGCTATTTGAGAACTGGCTCAAATATGAAGCCATCCCCTGTCCATTCTTATCCCAGCCCATTATTGGGACAGAGAGAGCATCTCCCTTCATAGAGCCCGGAACATATCTCTCTCCCTAACACTTACTACGTTCACAGAGCTCTTTGTCATGGGACCTGGTACATAATAGGCCAATGATAAAAGTCAACTGATTCGTTATTAAAAAGAGTTAAATTCCTTGTATAGATTGTTTACGTAGAGGCTAGACTGGCATTTGCTAGGGATCTATAAAGCAGGCGTAGGCATCAGCCACTGAATCACTCGTAAGTATTCATCGAGCACCTATTAGGTACCGGGTAGACGAGACGTCTGGGTAAGATTCCGAGGACAGTGTGAGGGAGAGCATTTGAGATGTAAAACTTAGAGGATTTAAGTAGGCATGCAGTGCAACAGGTTAAGGGAGGGGCAGAAGTGTATTAGTGATAGAAGGAACTCATGGATGATTTCACTAAATCTCTTTCAAGATGTCTTCATCTAAACAATCCAATTTTAACCTGTTACAATATTTACCACAGATTCAAACTCAGAGCTGGAACAGAATCCCATGGTAGCACTTTAAGAACTGTAAATACGTACTTCTGAATTGACCTTGGGCTGGCTTGCTTTCTTTGTCTTTATTGTATGCAATAATTTGAACCGTGTAGTTCTGGTCCGGCATAAGACCTTGAATAATTGCTTTAGTTGCAGTGTTCTGGAGATTCAACTGATTAGTTTTGCCACCTATAATAAAACAAAAAGATAAATCAGTACTAAGAAACAGGTTAACTGGATACATTAAGAAAATTTATTAATCAGCAATCAAGATTTTAAAAGGTGAAAACACTTAAATATATATCTAATGGTGCATAGGCACATAGCACTTAAATTTAACATTGTTCTTTATCATTCTTGGTTGTACTCTTTGCATTAGATAACTTGTCTAATTTAGACAGAACACATTTACAAAAATCTTTCATCATAATGCATTATTGCTTTTATACACTAGGGAAAGCCATAGTACAGGATTAGAAGACAGTAAGCCCTCAACATCAGACACAGTCTTCAAGGAAAGAATTCCACTTAAAAGTGAAGGGAAAGATAGAGGCAGACTGAGTGCCATTATCTACGCTGGAATTTTTGCTATGGTCTCTCTAAACTGAGTCAAAGCATCCCTAAAGCATTAGCAATGTAATTATATTAAGTCTGAGTGTAACTGGCTCAGGATGTTGACGGAACCAATCACTGCCTGGCTACTTAAACGTTAGCTTGCGTCGTGAAAAGATTTCAAACCTCCATTATCTCTCCATCAAATTAGACTGACATCTAAGGCTTTCGTGGAAATACTGTTGGTTAAATACTCAACTTTTAGGCGAAATTCCAAATATGCCTTTCTTTTCTAATTTCTGGCAGTAGGTACTAAGTCTGAGAAAGGAGAAATTTAAAGCTTCCGCCCTGCTAGCCCTGACGGCAAAAAGGATCTGAAATTTGCTGAATGAATTAAACGTAACACAGATTACAATATATTGTAATCATATTCTCATAAAATTAATAATGTTATGTCTGAAATTTGATGCTGCTATCATCCAGGCTGCCTGCTACTAGAAGGCAGAACTGAGCCTTTTTCTTGCCAAATGCATTTATGTCCAAGATATTAAACCCGGTTTCACAAACGTCTATTATTTAAAGCTCATCTACTACAAAGTGCACCAAATAAATCTTTCTTGATGTGTGTTTCACTAAGAAAAAAAAAGTTTCTTAGAATACTCTGTATTAGAATCCCTGAGAGGCACAGGTGTATTATTTTACTAAAGGCTTTGAGAATTCTGCAATAAAAAGGCTTTAAACTCTTTAAAATAGGACTTCTTAAATTTCTTTGACCATTAAACCATTTAAATGGTTGTATAATAGTTATGAGCATCTTGCAGATTACCATGGAACACGCTTTGGGAAAGACTGGTATAAACTGTATTTGGAACATGTCTTGCAGTGCTAAAATGTCTACATTTTGTGTCTGGATGCATTTATTACTCTTTTTTATTCACTCTATTTTATGTTTGATCAAGTAGATAACAGAGCGTCAACACTGTCTTATTGGCTTGGGTCACTGTAGTAAGGACACTGAGTGAGTCACTGGAAAAAATATAACCAGTATTCATGAAGAAATAATTTGCTTTCACCCTCAATTTTTATTTTGTCTCTGGAGGTGTTTAAGTAAGAGCTGGAGGTTTGCTTTGTGGGTGTGCTGTGGCAGAGAGGATTGAAGGATCTGGCTGAGATTTGGGTCAGAGGCTACACAAGTCACTTCTAAGACTCCCTGATTCTTTAATGCCACCTACAGGGTATACTGAATAGTTTAGTATTATCAGTTAATTAATCAGGGAAAGTTAAAATACCAATTACCTGGAGGAAAAAGAATAAACTTTCAAGATCAGATATGGGGAATTCTCGGAGGTACCACAAACTGGAAACTCATAATTTGACCTTTAAAGTCATAATGATGTTCAAGAATCTCTTTTTTTTCCTTCCAAGATTTTATTTAAATTCAAGTTAGTCAACATACAGTGTAGTATTGATTATAGGAGTAGAATTTAGTGATTCATCGCTTACATGTAACACCCAGTGTTCATCACAACAAGTGCCCTGCTTAATGCCCATCACCCATTTAGCCCATCCCCCCACCCACCTCCCCTCCAGCAACCCTTAGTTTGTTCTCTACAGTTAAGGGTCTCTTATGGGTTGCTTCCCTCTCTGTTTTTATCTCATTTTTTCTTCCCTTCCCCTATGTTCATCTGTTTTGTTTTTTAAATTCCATATATGAGTAAAATCATATGGTATTTATCTATCTCTGACTGACTTATTTTGCTTAGCATAATACACTCTAGTTCCATCCACGTTGCTGCAAATGCCAAGATTTCATTCCTTTTGATGGCTGACTAATATTCCATATTATATATGTATATGTATATATGTACATATATGTATATACGTGTGTGTGTATATATATATATATATATATATATTTGTATAAATACCACATCTTCTTTTTCCATTCATCAGTTGATGGACATTTGAGCTCTCTTTTAATAATTTCGCTATTGTTGATAATGCTGCTATAAAACATTGGGGCGCATGTGCCCTTTTGAATCAGTAGTTTTTTATCCTTTGAATAAACACGTCATAGTGCAATTGATGGGTCATAGAGTATTTCTATTTTTAACTTTTTGAGAAAGCTCCATACTATGTTCCATAGTGGCTGTACCAGCTTGAGTTCCCACCAACAGTGTAGGAGGGTTCCCCTTTCTCTGCATCTTCGCCAACATCTGTTATTTCCTGAGTTCTTAATGTTAGCCATTCTGACAGGTATGAGGTGATATCTCATTGTGGTTTTGATTTGTATTTCCCTGATGGAGAGTAATGCTGAGCATTTTTTCATGTATCTCTTGGCCATTTGTATGTCTTCTTTGGAGAGATGTCTGTTCATGTCTTCTGCCCATTTCTTAACTGGATTATTTTTTGCCTGTTGAGTTTGATATGATCTTTATAGATTTTGGATACTAGCCCTTTATCTGATATGTCATTTGCAAATATCTTCTCCCATTCTGTCGGTTGTCTTTTGGTTTTGTTGACTGTTTCCTTCACTGTGCAGAAGCTTTTTATCTTGATGAAGTCCCAAGAGTTCATTTTTGCTTTTGTTTCCCTTGCCTCTGCAGTCGTGTCTAGCAAGAAGTTGCTGCGGCCGAGGTCAAAGAGGTTGCTGCCTGTGTTCTCCTCTAGGATTTTGATTGTTTCCTGTCTCACATTTAGGTCTTTCATCCATTTTGAATTTATTTTTCTGTATGGCATAAGAAAGTGGTCTAGTTTCATTCTTCTGCATGTCGCTGTCCAGTTTTCCCAACACCATTTGTTGAAGAGACTGTCTTTTTACCATTGGATGTTCTTTCCTGCTTTGTCGAA